AACGACCTCTATACAGAATTCACATTCATTTGTCCAAACAAAACGTTAATGCCGAAATAATTTATTGCAACAATGCATGTAACTGCAGTGGTTGTCCTCCGCAAACAACTATCTGATGTAAATATATATTATGGCATTATCACAATACCGAAAACATGTAAACAGTCCTTAACAAACTGCTCTACATCTGCCATCTATTATTCCCTATTTCATAGTTGTTTTATATTTTATTAGTGTCGGCAAGGTTTATGTTTGGGAGAGATTTCCGTATGTAAGAAGAGTGCAATGCGTTTATAATGTACTGAACAAAGAGAGAACAGTAAAAACGTTGCCAAACCGTACGAAATAAACTGTGCACATTGCTAAGAGACGTGGAAGGTGTGACAAAACTTTTCAGATTTGTCCGTTAACATGGTAGTGTGGCCTTTATATAATTATAATTAAAATAATTTATTGAGCGGTAGGCAGAACTTGGATAATGAGAACACCGACTTTTCAGAGCGTAAATATAGTTTATCGTTTACATATAAAAACAAAATATAACCAGCTAAAGATCGAAATTAAGGCATCGCACTTTTATGGTAAGGGCTCTTTCTAAATTCAGTTACTATAAACTCTATTGCCACTTACCTTATTACGTCAACATCCATCAGCAATACATCAACAACAAGAACCTGTCGAAGACTTCGTTGATCCCCTTGTAGATCTACCCCTTCGATCTTGGACTCATTCTTAAGATTGAACCACTCGACCGGTTATCACAGTTTAAATAACTTAATATTTTAGTGATTAGGTGAAATAAAGAAATAAAATGCCGATTTTTCACAACACCTAACTATATTTAATATAAAGAAATAAATAAATAAAAAAAAATAAAAAAAAAGATTTAACAACAAAACATTTATAATTAATGAAAAAGAAAGAAATTGTATCAGAAATAATTAATGACAATTAGAGAATTGAAATTAAAACTCAGAGATAATAAAGTTAAAAAAAAAAAAAAAAATTCTTCTTATTAGTCCAATTTAAATTATCAACAATTAGCATACACTTTCAAATCTCTCTTAGAATTATCATTGGCAGAAAATTAATATATTAAAAAATATTCACTGAATAATTAAATTTAAATTAGAATTTAATAAAAAGAACAATTGCAAAATAATCACTTATGCAATGACATCTAAAATTTACTAAAGCCTTTAGAACAAACAGAAAGTCTTAAATCATTAATAAAGAAAAATATTAGAGAAAATCCAAAAACAACAATTTAAATACTGTAAGCATGAATAGCTTAGAATTTCCTAACTTGAGAATTTAATTGAGAAAATCTTTAGATAGAGAACTTACTAAAACAATTAAAAAGACCACTGGACAATATAAGACCTACACGGAGTAAATTCGACCGTCTAATTTAAAAGTCAGTACCAAACTAATTTTGAAGATGAAAATACTGATGCTGGTACTATCTCGGACAGGCGTTACTACATCTTCGGCACGCCCCTGTTTGAGGAACCTTCGAATACCCATCCAAATGCATATTTCGCACCTTTTTAATTGGCCGAAGGGCTCCTTCCCCGAAAGATCCCTAGACTTCTTTCACCCTTGTTTCTGGTCCTTGTCCCGAGAGGGCATCAGCATGTCCTATTTATTAATTAAATGTAATTTTTAAACCCTTCCGTGTAAATCTTACTCTTTTACCAATTTGCTGAAAAACATTCATAATCTACCTTAACTAATACAAATGATATCGTGACATAGGCTTACCTTAAAAAACCGCCTAGAAATGAAATCTTTATTTCTTCATTCATTTGTCTATTTCTATTTAACTCTAGGAACGGAAAAAAGATAATCCTATTTCTATCATTTTCAGACATTCATCTCGTGAACATTTGGATTCTGATTTTAAAACATATATTTAAGACTTTTAATTTTCAATTTAAAACCTCTAGCGATGGGATGATTTAATTTTACTTATTTCGTTAAGCATGCCTACGTGCTTTTTCTGCGTTGTTTATTTTGAGATATCCCTAGGGTACACAACTGGTACCACTCTGTCAAATAAAGTTTTGATAATAAGGGATGAATGTTTGTTCTACTTTACCCTCGTTTATGTGACTTTCAATTATTTAGAAGATTGTATTATTTGCTTAGTTAGTTTCTCAGGATATATGCGTACTTTTAGAGAGTTTATGTGTCTTGAATATCCTTAGATTATTTGCTTAGGCCTTTTAAAATTCGTTTGCCTATGTCAACTGATAACTTCGTAAACTGAAATGGTCCCATCTTAGAATAACAAACCAAAAGATAAAATTTTACCAAGCTTGATATTATTCTATTACAAAGGAGATATGGCAGCTTCGTCGCGATCGACTGCAGAAATCGCTAATGTTTTTTTTTCAAATTTTCTCTGAAACGGTATGGAAATTTATAAAAGTATAAACGGGATTGGCCATTTTAGAACAAGCAAAATTGTTTATCAAGAATGCATTTTTCTGAAAATGTCAATGATAAAAAAGTGTTTCCTCGTGTAAAGACAATCCGGGGACATACTGTATATGCTACCAAATTTGTTATTAAATATAGTACGAATCTTACGTCTAGTTTACCAAGCTTTACCGACTAAGTTTACCTAACCATTAAGACCTAATTTGCGTGCTGGAGCTCATAAAGAGTCTGCAAGCTTATGCATATAATTTCAAATTACGAATTCCACCTTGAGAGACTTCTCAAACTTTAAAAACTACCGCAAATTCGAGTAGTGAGCTAATACTAGGAAGATCTAAATTACCACAACGTGCATCTGTATATACGTTCGTAGAATGTAATTATGAATACTAAGAGAGAGGTAAATTGTGTGCAACTAACTTATTTTTATTCCACAAATACGTATGTCCACAGAATATTAGAACAATTGAAAAAAAATCTGATTAAAGAGATTTATTATAAATACTAGCTTGTACCAGCGACTTCGTTCGCGTCGAATTAATCATTTGTAATGGTGATGATAAGCAAAGCAAGAATTTCCATTAATATACAAACTGGATAAAATTTTCTCACATTTATGTCAGCATGAGAAAAAACAATATGACGATATTATTATATAACTTGGTAATATTTGAGGGGTAGTTTCATCTCGTTGGAATTTGACTTTCGAAAAATCCGTTTGCCAAAAATAAGCTTTTTACGTCAAGCAGTTTAAGCAGAAGCGTGGTTAAGAAATTACCCAACTTTTTGGAACCCTTTATGATTTTTTAAAAAAAAATTCAAAATATGTAAAAAACCAAATAAATTATGCTTATCCAAGCATTTTCCCGAAAGACTAACCGTTTTTTAAATAACAAATATTGTAATATTTGAGGGGCGTTTTCACCCTGTTGGAATTTGAGATTCGAGAAACCCCTCCTTATCGAACCTCTACACCCCACAGTCAATCCGTTTACCGAAAATCAGCTTTAAACGTCAAGCAGTTTAAGCAGAATGGTGATTACTCAATGGTCATATTTTATGAAACACCCTGTATAAATTTATAAAAAATCTTAAAATAGGTAAAACAACAAAATAAAATATACGTGTTTAAGAGTTTTTCCGAAAAACTCACCGGTTTTTAAATAAAAGATATTTTAATATTTGAGGGATTGACCCCCTTAGAATTCGAGTTTCGAAAAATCCCTTCTTATCGAACCTCTACACCCTAAAGTCAACCTATTTTCCAAAAATCAGCTTTTTACGCCAAGCGCTTTAAGCAGGATCGCGATTAATCAATGACCGGATTTTTCGAAACACCCTGTATACATTTTTAAAAAATCTTAAAATATGTAAAAAAACAAAATAAAATATACGTGATTAAGCGTTTTTTCGGAAACTTGACCGTTTTTTAAATAAAAAATATTGTAATATTTGAGGGGTGGTTTTACCCTCTTGGAACTGAAATTTCGAAAAATCCCTTCTTATCGAACTTCTACACCCTAGAATCAACTTGTACGCCAAAGTTGAGCGTCTTACGTTGAGTGGTTTGAGCAGGATCGTGATTAATCAGTATGTCAGTCACTCAAGGATTTTATATATTAGTATAGACATCTAATAAAAAAATACGTTAGTCAGTACAGTAGTAGTATACTAGGGTCGGCATTTCTGGCCTTAGGTTCCGATTTTCGCGTGTACGAATAGTACGGTCAACACGCTTAGTAAAATAAGATATACTGAATAAAGACAGACGGCAAGTTTGTAATAAATACTTCGTATTCTTGATCTTACTGACTTACTAGATTGCCATAGTTTCACTCCTATACATGTAAACGCCAACCCAAGGTTTCGCTTGCCAGGATGGTATAATATTTAATAATCAAATATAAACAAAAGATGTTATCGTGGGGACTATAATAAAAAGAAGAATAAAATTATTGGGCAAACCTACAGTAAGATTAGCCATGAAACATGGCTAAATAGTCGTATTTTAGCCATGTTTTATGGCTAATCTTACTGTAGGTTTGTCCAATAATTTCATTCTTTTTTTATAATAATCAAATAGATAGTTGAAAAACTAATTTTAAAATTTACTAAAACCAAAATAAAAATTTAGAACAAAATGGTTTTTCATAGCCCAATGTGTTGTGCACAAGTAATATTTAAATTACATGAAAACTCTTTATTTAAAACCATACATAAATATATCCACACTGTGTTTTTCAAAACTTGATGCATTGAAGGAATGCAAAAGTATTAATGTTGAGATTATTATTAAAAACCATAAAAAACAAAATAAAACAGTAGTAATACATCTTCACTTGGTACGTTGTATTATATTTTCGTCTATAAAGATGAAAGAATTAAGACAGTATATCGAAGCAAGCACTTAGTTAATGCACTCTAATGAAAGAAACATATACACTGCGAAAACCTCCACTGCAAACCAACTTTCTCTATTTTCTCTTACATATTTCAGGCCAGCCCAAAACCATCAAATCCCGTCAAATTTCCGTTTTTATCCTAGAATAACTCACCTTATTGGCTCCGGAAAAGCTTCAATATCACACTCGAGCACAGCTGTTGAGCCGTTTGAGACTCCGACCATTTGACTTTGTATGCTTATTAGTGGAGGAACTGCAAAGAAATAAAACTTGTTTAATGATGCAAATGTAGGAAAAAACTCTCAACTATTTGAGATTTGGCACACTCTAACATACATATTATGTATGCTAGAGTGTACTTTATTTACATTTAAATCATGAAATGAATGATGTACAACGTTATATTTTAAACTGTTTGGATGAAACTTAATTTTTTAAATAATGAAAAGTTATTGTGCTATAGTTAGGCATTGATTTCCTTATTTTACAATAGTTTAATTATAAAAACTTATGGTAGTTAACTTAAGTTGATTATTTTTCTTCTGTGGTTATCCGTATTCATTTTCACTTACAGTAAACTTCTAAGTTGAATGTTTGATTAGCTACTGGTGGAATTCCATTATCAGCAATGCACAGATATTTTCCCATGTGATCTCTGTTGACGTGAGTTAAATTCAGCGTAGCACCAGATATCTGTACATCTAAAAAAATAACACCATGTTACTAAAAAAATAAAAAAGGATGTAATATATTCAGTTTTTAAATATTTCATAATAAAATCAGAACCAAAACTCCAGGCAATTTCAAAGTTGATTAAAACAAATTGAAAAAAAAATGAAATTCTAACTTCATCTCTAGGGTATTGCATCTAAGCTATGTTCTATTTATTTCTGAAATGGGGAATTTCGCTTCACTCGATATACTGTAAATGAAGAATTTTAAAATTGAATTCCTTTTTGAATAGAAACTGATGCGACCAATCAAGCAACTGTGTATCTTCAGGGAAAACAAAAATAAGCCAAATAGATCGATTTTTTAGTATCCTATATAGAAAGAAAAATGTATAGCACTAGGTAATGACGCAGTGAATGAATATATCCGTTTTAAAATACATAGTAAAAAATTATTAAGAATATCAAACACAACATGTCATTCTATTCAGAATACCGGGTGCGTGTCAAAAATGGCTCATACCAATAAATTTTTTAGTTCTTCAGATAAAAAATCGAGATTTGGTATGTTAGTATATGATATAAATTAGGATTGATTGACTAATTCAATTGTTTTCGGTCACTTCCTGTTTCACCAGAAATGACTACAACTTTTGATTTTTAAATAGCACCCTCGGTACGTGCGGTATGAAACTATGTATCTATATATCCCTTCCCGGACACAAACGGTACATTGTGAGACAGGAAATTGTAGAGAGAAACAAGCCCTATAACATAGGATACAACATTTTAATGAACAGTGCTTTCCATAAAATCAATTAAATTAAAAATATACGAAATAATATACATGTACTGATTTCTTTCGAAAATCGACAACTATGAAACTATGATCCCTTCCCGGACACAAAGGGTACATTGTGAGACAGGAAATTGTAGAGAGAAACAAGCCCTCTAACATAGGATAAAACATTTTAATGAACAGTGCTTTCCATAAAATCAATTAAATTAAAAATATACGAAATAATATACATGTACTGATTTCTTTCGAAAATCGACAACTATGAAACTATGATCCCTTCCCGGACACAAACGGTACATTGTGAGACGGGAAATTGTAGAGAGAAACAAGCCCTATAACATAGGATAAAACATTTTAATGAACAATGCTTTCCATAAAATCAATGAAATGAAAAATATAAGAAATAATATTCATGTACTGATTTCTTTCGAAAATCGACAACTATGAAACTATGATCCCTTCCCGGACACAAACGGTACATTGTGAGACAGGAAATTGTAGAGAGAAACAAGCCCCATAACATAGGATACAACATTTTAATGAACAGTGCTATCCATAAAATCAATAAAATGAAAAATATACGAAATAATATACCTGTACTGATTTCTTTCGAAAATCGACAACTATGAAACTATGATCCCTTCCCGGACACAAAGGGGACATCGTGAGACAGAAAATTGTAAAGAGAAACAAGTCCTATAACATAGCGTACAACATTTTAATGAACTATGAAACTATGATCCCTTCCCGGACACAAATGGTACATTGTGAGACAGGAAATTGTAGAGAGAAACAAGCCCTATAACATAGGATACAACATTTTAATGAACAGTGCTTTCCATAAAATCAATTAAATTAAAAATATACGAAATAATATACATGTACTTTCGAAAATCGAAAACTATGAAACTATGAACCCTTCCCGGACACAAACGGTACATTGTGAGACAGGAAATTGTAGAGAGAAACAAGCCCTATAACATAGCATACAACATTTTAATGACCAGTGCTTTCCATAAAATCAATATATGCATAAATAGCACCCGCGGTATAGTCTCATACTATATGCGATATAAAATGACACTCTGAATAGAATGACATCATTTGTTAACTTTTGACATTTTCGAATATGGTTTATTTGAAATTGCATCATGCGATTCATAACAATTTGACTCAAAATACCAAGTGTGTGGTATCAAATTATTCGTAAAAATGCTTTTTCCAAACATGCTAATGAGTCACCCTCGTTCCATTTCAAAAAAATGAGATATGATTAAAAATACGATTTGGGCATCTTTTAACCGGCCAGGAACAACACATTAACATTATTAACATTAGACGATCAAATCTATTTTTCCAAGACTCCTTGATTAAAAATTAGTGTTTGTAACACAGCCATGGCATTCTAGATTGAAATTTAAAATACAATTTTGCTTTAAGGGAAAATGTCAAAAGTTAACATATGATATGTCACTCTATACAGACTGTCATTTTCTATCGAATAAAGTAAAAAAAATACCGAGGGTGCTATTTAAAAATCAAAAGTTGTAGTCATTTTCGGTGAAACAGGAAGTGATCGAAAGTAAATGAATACGCCAGTCAATCCTGATTTATGTCGTATACTAACATAGCAAATCTCGTTTTTGCTGTCTTTTAAGTGTTAAATAAAAACGTTATAAAAGTGAGCCATTATATTTATATCATAGAGCATTTCTTTTTTGAACTATTACATCTTTATAAAACCTATATGTTTTATTCCTAAAGCTTAAATCTGCATGTAAGTATACAGATTCTCTAAATTGAAGCAGTTTGAAGAGAAAATATCGCTAGGAGAGCTATTCGGTCGCTTCAATCGCTTCAGTTAATCATTATTTGCCCACTGCCCGTCCATTTTAGCCCGATTTTATTTGTCCGGCTTCAACGCGAGCGGAGCACTTACATTCAAAATGTTTGCGTTTGTCGGAGAACTTTTAAAGTTAGCGATTGATGCTCCGAATAGGTTGATGTTTTAGTCATAGAGCAATTTAAACTTTTGCATAATCTCGGTAACGTTAAGTAAATTTTGGATAAAAAGTTTTATTCATAGATACCAGAGATTTACTTCTAACTCTACTAGTAATTAGCAAATTTAAAAACAATTAGTGTCTAACTATCAATCTTATGCGACAGTCAAGCAGCCTTAAGACCAATAAACTCAGTAACCATCAATTCGAAGTTGGTCAAAAATGCATAGAGAAACTTAGAGAAGAAAATAAAGCGTTCTTACTCTGGGTGCCATCCCATCAAGGGAATGGCTAGTGTAATAAAAAAGCTAACAATCTTGCGTGAAAAACTAACTAAAAACGGAACTCAAGATCCTGGAAGACTCCATCTTTAACGTAGACTGGAAATGCTCCAACGGTCTAAGATACTCGAGGTATTTTAAAATCAAAAATGTTCCTTAATTTAAGAAAGGACGATCTTGGGATTACAGGACACTGTCTCTTCAATAAACACCTCAGTAGATTGAATCTAAGAAACAACGGTACAAACACAACAAAATGCAGATTATGCAAGGAAAATGGAGAAACATCAGAACATCTCATCACTGAGTGCGCTGAGACAACAACCATTCGTGACAAATTTTGGTACGACTGATATCGGAAATGGAGAACTAACTTCTATATAACCGTCTCAGATACTGGGTTTTGTCAAAGCCCAAAAAATGTCTGATGAGTTACAACTCAAGAAAAGGAACTTTTCCCCTCCTATACGTTCTACAATCTACAACATAGGGTCAAGTGGTGTAAAAATGAGACAAGTAATATTTAGGTAACAAAGGAGCCATTCACATAAAACTATTGAAAATGTATAGTGTGACCAACGGATCTGTAGCTACGGGGTATCGGCAGGGGAACGCAGTTGTAAACAAAACACGCCCAATTTCATTCATAAAATAGGCATGGGCGTACGGTGTTATATGAAAATAATGTGTATCATAAATATAATATTGAGATTAATAATTTTTTTCAAAAAACTTTATGCTGTTTGAATCGTTACTGTTGAGTTAGCAGATAAACACTAAAAGCTTTTATTAAAGCTCCCTTAAATATTTTGAATCATTTTATTATTGTGTTGTTAATATAATAGAAGAAATAATTACAGCTGGGGGTTGGAACCTTTGGTGTTACACAGCAAAATAAAACACTAAATCAGTACAATACACCAAAACACTTTCAATTTTACACTGGACGCACGTTTCGCTAACCATGTCTGCCATCAGCAGATGATCAAGACTGAGTCTTGAGGTATATTTATTTATATATCTGTACTAAGTATATTTTTTTATATAATACATAATTTTAGATATAACTAATTCCAGCAAAAAAAAGTCTTGAAAATAGTTAACTTTGGAAGCGCAAACAAAACATAATTTTACTCACCAGTAGATCCAATATTGCCTATTACACCAGATATGGTATCGCTCCGCCAGCAGTTTTTAAAGGTTAGGTCATTGTGTACCCATATGTTTCATCCAAATAGATAATACTTGGCTATATTTTCGAATTTCGCGTATATATTTATATCTCTCTCTGCAATATAATGGGCCGCTCCATTAATATTTATCTGTTATTTTGACATTTACGCCAAAAAAATTCATTTGATTTTAATAACCCCCTAAGCGTTTCCCTGCGAAAGGAAAATTCGATTCTTCCTGAAATTTTTGCAAAAGCTTTCTAATTGCGGGGACGAGTTTGAATTCGAGATAAAATCTATTTATCAAAGTCCCGACCACTTCGAAAAAGTCATCGAGCTTTTCGACAGCAGTCTCACGTGGTCGTTTCTTTCCAGAGCTGGATATCACTTTATCGGGGTTAGTTTTCAGCCTTTTTTTTATCTTCTATGTGAATTTTTTTATAGCCGATGCGCTAACTCCGGTATAAAGAAATATCCGCTCAAGTTTACGTTTAAGCGGCAACTTAAGCGAACTCTCTGTACGCAAACCCTATTATGAACACAAGGAAATAAACCAAATGAGATTTTATCCACGTTATTATTAACTTACCTATATAAATTAACTATTATTTCTCTTGTCTGACTATGTAGCGTCTTACATTTAACAAATTTATTCATTTTAAAACACAAATATATGATCAAACTTGATATTAATAATTAAAAACTACGAACGAAAAACATTATAACAAGATAACAAACCAATAAAACACAACTTAACTATCAAATATACGAAAAATATAGGAATAAAGTTTAGGATAACCGGTATAAAATAATGAAATAAAGTAATAATGATCAAAAAAATGACACCGCCACTGGATATTTCAATAGTATTCAATATTCTTACTCTTTTCAGAAGAGACCGTGAAGTTGGGGATAAAGCAAGCGAATAGGAAAGGCGTAAAAGCCATGGCAACCGCGTGGTAACAAATCCTGTGACGTACTCTCGCTAATCATGTTCGATGAATAGGCGGCCATGCGCGGCGATACCGGTTTGCTAATGATATCGTTGAAAAATCTTCAACTTTCATAATAAGCAGATTATACAGAATGAAAGAAATAAGTTATTAAATAAAACATATCGAACAATATGAACTACGTTAAAATTCCTTAGTAATATACGTCAGAATATATGCTAAACACATTATATATAATAAAAATATATTAAATTTATAGTTCATGTCTGGCAATTTTGCAATTTTATAGATAAACGTGGCAATATCGATTTATTTTTTCTCACATTCCTTCCGTAGCTTCAGATCCGCTGGTCACACAGTATAGTCGTCAGTTTTCTTGTTAAGAACATATAACAATAATTGTTAAGAGACCATCTCTATAATTTTTTAATCTTTGTGTGATAAATCACAGGAAAACCTGAAATTACAAATAATGAAAAGCTCCAGGGGAAAAACTTGGTAAGCGCCAATTTCTTAATTTTAAGATTTTACAATATTATAGTAGGTCTAACTGGTCCCTACTAAATGTATAAACTCTGCAGGGCAATGAGTTGTTAAATCCTATGATATATGTCTAGTAAAAATATAGGACCCTTCAAATCCATTGACTCGGTTTGAGGTTTAAAACTTTTAAAATTGATTATCAAACTTTTGTCGGATGATATCAGTACAAAGTTGTAAGCGTTACGGTACATGGTCTAGAAAGGAATGTCCGTTTAAACTAAGTCTTGTTGGTATGACAAGCTAGATTTTGGAGGGATAAATTTGAGACACAATGAGAGATAATAATGAGATAAGGGAATATTATTCTAGATAGGGGTAAATATAAGTCAACTCAACAGAAAGTATATTTTTAAATTTTAGTCACAAATCAAAAATGCCAAAAATATGTAAAAAATCCAAACAAGTCTACGGAAAAAGATCTTTAAAAGACTCCAAAGTTAGCGAGCACTCAGCAGCGAAGATGTATCCTTAATATATGCGGCCAAAGCTTTCCAGCCTGATAAATCAAAACAGTAGTACCTAACTGAGATAGATAATGATTTTACATTACACAGTATTTAACGCTAATAACTTTACAAAAACAAAAAATACGGGTCTTAAACGTTGCCCTAAATAGGGTCGCAATAAAGTTGTTTATCAATTAAAAATTTCAGGCCTTGAACAAGCCAGTGTACTCATTACTATCGTTTACAATATAACAAATATAAATTGTTAAACTCTCTCGATATATTACAGGTAAATCGCAAACAACATAAAAGGCTATTCCGATCACATAATACAGCTTTGTCCATATATCGAGAGCATATTTATATATCCATGCATAACGAAATTTTTTGCGTAGATAAGCTTACATAATATAATACAAAATTTATGTGCAAAATTTATAAAACCAGTTCACCTAACTGTTTATATAATATTATATTTAAACGGCTTGATGTATAGAATGTTTAATGTTCAGTCATCGTTCATTTAGTTCCTTTAAAAAAATAAATTTAGAATCAAATACATATTATTATAAGAAGATTATACAGGGCGAGTCAAATAAGTGCACATATTTTAGGGGTGGTATATTTCAATCCTTATAACTTATTTTTCGATTTTTTTTGAAATACCATTGATAATATGGCAACATATTCCAGATTCACAAAAAATCCAGTAGTTTCCAAAATTTAAGGAAAATGTCATTTTTTATTTTTCAAAGTGAAATAACTCGGCTACCGACTTATTGGAAAAACGGCAAAGAAAAAGTATGTTTCTTTTATCGAGGTCTGCCTGCCCTGAAAATATGTTCACTTATTTATAACTCACCCTGTTTATATCTGGTAAAGATAAATAATTCAAATCACAGTTTGAACGATTCTAGTTTTAAACAAACAACTGGCATTCTTTTAAATTAAGTTAACAGCTGGTAAACGAGTTGTAACCAATAAAATAAAACAAGATTTAGGATTAAATGGAATAAGTCCTGTGCAAATAGTGATTAACCGGTCGGATTGAAACTGCCCAATTGGTTTCTATCGCAGTTTTCCTCTTCTCGATTGTTTTGTTTTTGTCTCCATATACATCCCTTAGGGCCACGATAAGGGTTTCTATATAAAATTCCTGATTTTTTTCTTATCAGTTCCGCTTTCTAGTAACTTAGAAAAAAAAATCTGCCCGATTAGTTTTATCAAAGAAATTGCAAAAGATTCGGCCCCAAGGGCAAAGTAATTATTCGGTTCTATTTGGAAACTTTTACGTTCAAATGACAAAAGTTTTGGAAAGGTTTCAGTTGGCGTCTTGTCTTTGTCCTTAATTAAAGCCCAAGATCAAACACAACGTTAACAAAAGAAAAGATAATAAAGATAGGAAAAGTAATTCACCTTGAAGTTAGCGAATATAGATGCAATCTTGCTAAATAATGTGTTTTACAATGTGGAAGTTACACATTTTAAAACCTACTAAAAACCAATGACGTATCGCACATAATCGAAAGAGACATCTGCTGGTGATGTTAAAGTCACTAGCAAAATTTATCTTGGTATGTGCATTTTATGTTATACATTATAATCATTGATTAAAAGAATTGGGACGATCCCCAACCTAATGAGCGAAATCGTGACAAAGTTCATTTTATTTTTCCTATGTCTCAAGTGCTGTACAGTGGAGACACCAATCGTTCTGCACTCAATGCATAAAACACTGATTTTCTCTAATTCGGCCAGCGAAGGCATATCGATTTGAATGAAAAATCCGAGTTTATGTACTGAAAGTTTATTCGTGTTGAACGTAGAATAAACAACAAAAATATTTTTTATAGGTACTGAATATGTCGTATGATCGAAAAAAGTCGTTTAGTTTTCTTGGAAATGACGATTACTGACATTTACCATAATATTTTACATATGAAATAGCAGCGATCTTCATTTCCTAGCCAACTCTGACGCCGTTTTTTGTTTAATCATATAATATTGTATTAAAATTGTTTAATGATAGAAAATCCATATTATTAACGTACTGTACCAAAAATCCGTAAATCTACGGAATTATCAGTAGTTCTGGCAACACTGTCTCCGGCAACCACTCACTCGGTCAACTAAAAGCAGAAAGCAGAACTACGGTACAGTATTCCAGGTGGATGACACTTCTTATGGGAGAACTGGCAATGGTGAAAAACTTGAGTACAAGCGATTTTCTAGGAATCTTCCTTACCGATAAATTATTGACAAGAGTGACAGATAAAACCTTGACGTTCTTTCAGTATTACAGTTCATCTCTTTTTCTTTCTAAAGTGTGCGTTGAAAGGAGACATAAACAATTTTTGGTGACCCATAATTTGTTATTCGAACACCACTTTTCTCCTTGTCGTGTCGTTGACGTTGACTTGTCGCCATTTTATTTCTTTTGTTTACAAGCTGCAGTTTGCTTTGCAAATTTAATACATAAATTATTTAGGTAAATATAGGTTTTTGATAAAACTTCTCGGACTAACGTGTATGTGTTGATAAATATTTTTTTTCATCTTAACATGCTCATTGTCATTCTCCTGATTTAGGTGACAGAAAACGATCATCAAATCAAATTGGATTTTATATTTTTTCATCCCACAGGACCGATAGTAAAATATATATTTTATGGATACCTTCCTAAATATCAACGAGATGAGCCATCGGAAGAAAGGGACCATAGTACAAAACAGAAAGGTGAACTTTTTTCTTTCCACTTAGGATATTGAAATATACTGTCGGCACTCTGAGAAATATAGATAAACAAAGAACAACAGATATAAACTATCCCAGAGGAAAAGAGAGGCAATACCTGTACTCTCTCTGATATTTGTGAAAGTTGCGGCAAAGTATTGTTGTAAATGTCATCTTTTTGATCGACCTGAAAATTTCGAGCAAAAAGATGACACTTTCAACAATACCCTGACAGATATCAGAGACGATACAGGTTTTTCCTCTCTTTTCCTCTGGAATACTTTTAATTTATTATTCTTTGTTTATCTAGATTTCGCAGAGCACTATGAACGAACTCAGCTTGTATGTTTGAAATAATCGTCCAGTTGACTTAAAAATGATGATCGATTACATTTCCCATAAAATTTTACTTTCAAAATTATGATATATATCTTCATTTCTAAGCCCTCTATTACGCCATTTTTTTCAGTTTTGTTATAATTAATTTTGTCTCTTGATCTACTTGTAACATTATTCTTTTAATTTTATTAATTTATTGTGGTGAAATTAATTTCTGTTGTATATTTGATATTGATATTAAACATATTTTTAAAAAATGTTGTATTTCTTGTGTTTTTATGTATGTCATAATTAAAAATAAATGAAGAATTAAAATTTTTTATTTTTTTAAACTTCCCGCCATGCGTGACAATCTAGTCCGTAGTTCCTACAAGCGAAATTGGGGGCGCTAGTAGCAGTAGACTTGTCAACAGTGTCAAATTTAAACGTCAATTTCACTTTCCAATATTTAGCAAGGCGCTCGCACTTCTTCTTGTGTATGTGTTTTGTGCAGTATTCTTTATCCGCTGCACTGTAAACGACTATGAACGCTCAGCGGCGCAGAGCTAAACTAAATCTCGGAATTCTCGGGAAAGCTGACGGTAACGCCAGCTACATCTCGGACAGATTTTGTGCCACAAAATCACCCATAAGGTTGCGCATCTTCTTATTTCTTCAATCAACGATATAACACAAAAATATTTAAAATAATCCTACATAAAAGAACTAAAATAATAAAACTAACTGATATTTGGCCTTATGTTAATTATTCTCTCTTACCTTGCCAAGCTCCTCTGTTAATAGGTCTATTGTCGAGTTTCTGCCAAGTAATATGGGGCATGGGAGTCCCGGTAGCGGAGCAATGAAGACGCACGTTCTCCCCTTCGTGCACCACGATTGGTCCCATGGGGCCTTTTGAAGCACCTGTAACAGAATTATCTCTACATAATTAACAGCCGTTACAGTTTAACTGTACAGGGACATCATTTTAAGTGTCTCACTCGATTTATAATTTTCCTGTTTGGTATTTAAAGATAGTAGAAATATTTCCTAATGTAATTTTTCGCGAGGATGCCGATTCTCTACACCAAAATTTTTTAAAACGTCAATTTTGACAGATACGACGCCATTTTGATTTTTTTTTTAAAGAAACCCCCACATATTTTAGCATGGTCCGGTAGACATATTTTAGCTAATTTCAAAAATATATAGTTTAGTATACTTTGCACTTACCGTTTTCGATATACAGTGGATTTAAAAATGAATTGTTCCAGAATCATTTTAAGTGTCTCACTCGATTTATAATTTTCCTGTTTGGTATTTAAAGATAGTAGAAATATTTCCTAATGTAATTTTTCGCGAGGATGCCGATTCTCTACACCAAAATTTTTTAAAACGTCAATTTTGACAGATACGACGCCATTTTGATTTTTTTTTTAAAGAAACCCCCACATATTTTAGCATGGTCCGGTAGACATATTTTAGCTAATTTCAAAAATATATAGTTTAGTATACTTTGCACTTACCGTTTTCGATATACAGTGGATTTAAAAATGAATTGTTCCAGAATCATTTTAAGTGTCTCACCCAATTTAAAATTTTCCTCTTCTCTATTTTAAAATGGTAAAAAGATATTTTAAGGTAATTTTTCGCGAGGATGCCGATTTTCTACATTAAAATTTTTTAAATCTTCAATTTTGACAGATACGACGCCATCTTGATTTTTTTTAAATGGAAACCCCCCATATTTTAGCATGGTCCGGTAGACATATTTTAGCAAATTTCAAAAATATATAGTTTAGTATACTTTGCACTTACCGTTTTCGATATACAGTGCATTTAAAAATGAAATCTTTAGAATTATTTTAAGTGACTCATCCAGTTTACAATTTTCGAATTATAAAATTCTTGAAAATGTGAAATTTGACAATTACTACGCTTAATTTTTTTTATTTTTTTATACTTTGATTCTTCTTCAATATGACCTTTACATACGGGGTGATTCCGGAAACTTTGGCAGCATATTTTGCAGATAAAAATAAGTAAAAAAGTTCGTATAAATGTCCTAACATGCTTAGTTTCGGAGATGCAGGGTGTAGAAGTATCATTTTTATTTCGATTTTTTCCAAATAATTTGTGAAGTAACGTTTATACTGTGATGAAAATTGGTGTCTGGGAGATTTTTGATATGAGAAATTTGATTTTGATGTCAATATAAATCCAATTTCTAGGGGGCGCCACATACACGTATTTTAACTGTTTTGAAGAGTAATAACTTTTCGTCCGTACTACTGAGTATACGTACTATAAAACTACTGAGTGAAAAATTATTCATTTACAACGATTTTTACGTAAAAAAGGTCTGTTGGTAAAAATTGTTACGAGTAATGGTTCTCGAGATATTGGGAATCGAAATTATCAGTACCTGTCATCATTGACATATATTAAACATGTGGACTAAATAGTTACTAGTCTGAAATCATAAATTTGAAATGTTTTTTTGCCAAAAGTTCAACAGAAACTGTTTTATCATCATTTTTCCGCAGAAAAATTTTTTTTCCGCATTTTTAAATCCACTGTATATCGAAAACGGTAAAAGCAAAGTACACTAAACTATATATTTTTGAAATTAGCTAAAATATGTCTACCGGACCATGCTAAAATATGTGGCGGTTTCCATTTTAAAAAAATCAAGATGGAGTCGTATCTATCAAAATTGACGTTGTAAAAAATTTTAATGTAGAAAATCGGCATTCTCGCGAAAAATTGCATTAAAATATCTTTTTACTATCTTAAAATAGAGAAGAGGAAAATTTTAAATTGGGTGAGACACTTAAAATGATTCTGGAACAATTCATTTTTAAATCCACTGTATATCGAAAACGGTAAGAGCAAAGTATACTAAATTATATATTTTTGAAATTAGCTAAAATATGTCTACCGGACCATGCTAAAATATGTGGGGGTTTCCATTTAAAAAAAATCAAGATGGCGTCGTATCTGTCAAAATTGACGTTGTAAAAAATTTTAATGTAGAAAATCGGCATCCTCGCGAAAAATTGCATTAAAATATTTTTTTACTATCTTAAAATAGAGAAGAGGAAAATTTTAAATTGGGTGAGACACTTAAAATGATTCTGGAACAATTCATTTTTAAATCCACTGTATGTCGAAAACGGTAAGAGCAAAGTATACTAAACTATATATTTTTGAAATTAGCTAAAATATGTCTACCGACCATGCTAAAATATGTGGGGGTTTCCATTTAAAAAAAATCAAGATGGCGTCGTATCTGTCAAAATTGACGTTTTCAAAAATTTTGATGTAGAGAATCGGCATCCTCGCGAAAAATTACACTAGAAAATCTTTCTACTATCTTTAAATACCAAACAGGAAAATTATAAATCGAGTGAGACACTTAAAATGATGTCCCTGTACAGGGTCCAACAATGCAACAGTGCGTCGAGCATCTGTAGCTCCTGTAATAAAAAACTTAGGAATTTTGTTTAGGTGCAAACCTAAAGTAGCTATCAGGATGTAATACAGGAAAATATTTTAACTTCTACAGGGTGGCTCAAAAAAGTGTAAGCGGATTTATTTTTTTAAAGGAAACACTCTGTATATTATTACATTTTTGGCTTTCCCTCTGGTCACTTTCCATAATAAAATCAGCCTTTTTTGAAATAATTATTAAAAATACAGGAAATGTCCTGAAATCAAAACTGTACTAGGTATTTACTATAGTTGGTCTGTATTTACTTCGCTACAAATATCGTAATCTTAAACTATACAGGGTGTTCAAAATTCTATGCCAGACTTTCTATAATATGAAATAGTTTTTCTTCGTTTTATTCAAATTGAAAAATAAAACTGTGTATTAATTGTTTCTTAGATTTGGATTGGTTTGATTGTTAATTGTTTGTTAGATGGAGAGAAAGGCCAATATCAACTCAAAGACTCAAAGAAATTCAGCACTGGATTAGCAGCGCCTCAATAGCCGTTAGTCGCGCGTGAGCATTTTGCTCACAGCGCAAAAAACGCATTTTTATAAAATATTTAGAAATGTTTATTAAAAGCGCATGACCTTATTAAATTCTTTATTAACAGAAGGTAATGTAAATTACATTCCTTTGTTATTCTTGGTCAGACTCGTTTCCAACGCAAATGTTACAAGTAAAGGTGGTTTGTTCCGTGCAAATTTCTCGCTGGCAAGCAACACGTGTCCTGGTGCGCCTGTTTTTATGTAGAGAACAAATTTGATAGAATCTTTCATCATTCAGCTCTGCTGCTCTTTGCTGCAAAAATGGCAATCCAGCTTATTTGTGTATAGAAGCACGAAGGGGTAGACTGAGATTCTGTATATTAGCACGATGTACCACATGCTGCAACACAAGCTTCTTTTAGACAAATACGTCGCACAGATATAGCGGAATTATCTCTCTCATGCTTTGTATATAATGAATGTAAGAGTTCACAGCTCATACGTTGAGCATGAGAAAAAGACAGTCTAAGTCCATCTGCGACACGCGATATTGAATAAATATGAACTTTTCATTTCATCGACTACCTCCGCAGCACCTTTTGCCACATTACAAAATGTGATGGTTTCTGGTAGTGATGGGTTGTTATTTAAATATCTGTTATTTTATAACAATTATTTATAAATAACATAACGCAACCGTTACTACTTTTAAAAAATAACAGATATAAAATAACGACGCGTAGAGATCGGCCGCTCGTGAAAGGAAAAACGAAGTCGGCGCTCTGCATCACCACGAAATTCTATGCTGCTCGAAGCAATTCCAAAAAACAACTAGTATGGATGGAAAACATGTATATTTCGTCAACCATCGATACAGGCCCATGACAACGGAGTGGGGAAAGCGCTACGGCGAACGTAGCTGCTTCGGTCGATACCGTCAATGGTCGTATTTACAACAGCTTAAAAATAATAGGATATAAAAGAAGCAGGTTTTTTGAAACAGTTGCGAGCATAACGCCTGGCGGTGGAGATAACAGGAGTGGGAAAGGAACGCTGCTGCATCGGTCGATTGTCGATGGAGGCTCGCAACGGGTTGGAGAAGCAGTCATTTTAGATATGTTGTTTTTCAACCTGTTACAAGGATAACAGGGCGGCTGACGAGATAATAGATGTGGGAAAGGAACGCTGCTGCATCGGTCGATTGTCGATGGAGGTTCGAAACAGGTTGGGGAATAACGCCATCAGTTGTTTTAGATACATTCTGTTTCAACCCGTTACGAGCATTACGGACGGAGGTCGAGATATTATGGCCGCTGTATGTTTCAGTACTTACTTATTAAGTTTCAATATTTAGGTATATATTTATTCTGAAAAATTTTCAGAACAATATTTTAAGATTTTTTAAAAATGTATACAGGGTGTTTTGAAAAATCTGGTCATTGATTAATCACGATCCTGCTTAAAGCCCTTGACGTAAAAAGCTGATTTTTGGAAAACGGATTGACTTTAGTGTGTAGAGGTTCGATAAGAAGGGATTTTTCGAAACTCGAATTCTAAGGGGGTGAAACTACTCTGAAATATTAGAATATTTTTTATTTAAAAACCGGTGAGTTTTTCGGAAAAACTCTTAAAACACGTATATTTTAATATGTTGTTTTATATATTTTAAGATTTTTTAAAAATATATACAAGGTGTTTCATAAAATATGACCATTGAGTAATCACTATTCTGCTTAAATTGCTGGACGTTTAAAGCTGATTTTTTGCAAACGGATTGACTGTGGGGTTGAGGTTCGATAAGGAGGGGTTTCTCGAATCTCAAATTCCAACAGGGTGAAAACGCCCCTCAAATATTACAATATTTGTTATTTAACAAACGGTTAGTCTTTCGGGAAAACGCCTGGACACGCATAATTTATTTTGTTTTTTTTACATATTTTGA